TGTAAGTACTAAACATGTCTCTGTCTCTCTGTTTGAAGGACCGGATAATAGATGCTGGCCCAAAGGGGAATTATTCTCGCTTTATGAACCACAGTTGCAATCCCAACTGTGAAACACAGAAGTGGACAGTGAACGGTGACATCAGGGTCGGACTCTTTGCTCTTTGTGATATTCCTGCAGGTAAAAAGCTGCACTGTTTTACATCCATACTTTTAGTCTTGAGATGACTGTGGAGAGATAAACGCTAATGAAATGTCACTGTCACCAGCCTGTCTTTCCTCAGTGTCCGAGTAATTGTTTTTCTTTAAATTGTAGGAATGGAGTTAACATTTAATTACAATCTGGATTGCCTGGGCAATGGTAGGACCGAATGCCATTGCGGAGCAGAAAACTGCAGCGGTTTCCTCGGAGTGCGTCCAAAGGTATGTGGATGGAAATTGGAGCTTCTCTTCCCAGATCCAGAGATCTTGTGAGAGGGGGACAGAGAGAGGGGTTTGGTTTATTCGGCCTTTCCTTTACTCTGTGTAATACTTGAAACCCTTAAGTTTTGCAGCTGGGAGCTATAATGCTGTTGTGCCTAGGGTGGAGTTAATTCACCAGATTGTGTTAACTCAGGTCTATATGGATGGGCACTTCTGGCTTTTATAGCTTAAAAGCTTTTTTGAGTGGATTTAATTTAAGCAGAGTTCATGCAAATAATAACCCAAAGTTGATTAAATTGATGGTAATGCAAGGGGTCTGTAAGTGACTGTATGCTGTGGTCTTTGTAATCGCCAGACAGCGTTTGCAACGGCGAATGAAGAGAAGGTGAAGAATGCAAAACTAAAGCAGAAGAAACGGAAAATAAAAACAGAGCAGAAGCAGATGCACGAAGACAACTGTTTCCAGTGCGGAGATGGGGGAGAACTGGTCATGTGTGACAAAAAGGACTGTCCCAAAGCGTACCACCTCCTATGCCTTAACCTGACTCAACCACCTTTCGGTAAGAGCAAGCGTGTGGCATCCAGGTCAGCTTTTCCTTCCCTGCAAGACTGTCTGAGCTGAAATGCAGTGTTTGCATACATTAAATGCGGAGTGTGTGCTCTTGCAATATCCATTCTTAGCAATACATTAGGTGGCAGCATTCCTTTGAAACAGGAGCTTCATCTCCATGTCCCAAGGTCCCCAGGTACAAATCACGATAGCTCAAACCACTGACGTAGCCAGCACGATGTATAGGGCACAGTTAATTGGTAAATAGTGTTTCCTGATGGCATGTATCTTCTGTTCGCCTTTTTCCTTCTTAAGGCACAGCATTTTGCAGCCTCAAATTATTCGGCAGTGCATCTTAATCCGATTGCAGGGTTTTGTCCAAGTCCTTATCTCTTTAATCTTCCTGAATCCAAAGACTTCAGTGAAAATAATTGGCAGTCCAGATTAGTCTATGATTAAATTAACCAGAAGGCTGCCACGAGTGAAGCTGAAGCTGTCACGTGCCTTTTCAGCCTGTTAAAAACATGGGAGCTGTCCTCAAAATAGCTCATTTGCCAGAGAAAGAAATGTCAGTGTCCTGGCACCAAGAGCACTCGAGTTTAGGGGATTTTTCCCCATAGTTTTTGGTTTTCTCTGAAGTTCAAGGGCTCTTTTGGCCTGGCCCAGCACTCTGGTTACAGCTGCATTAGAGGTCAGTCTTCTGCAGTCAAGTACACTGCGGTTGAGCTAAACCTTAATTTGGAGATACCCATCAGGGGAGTCCTGTGTCCCAATCAATAAGAGATGCTCACAGGTCAGGAAACGTGCAAAGCAAACGCTCCATCTGGCATGAGCATTTGGGGTCTGGGTGCCAGAGGACGTTGTCCTGGCTATTTTAAGCTCTGCCTATGCATGCAGCAATGCTTTGTGCCAAGTAAGGCCTAAAAAAACGCAGAATGGCCAAGAACCGTTTCCAGTCTTATTCTTGTAAAGGAGAAGCAGAAGTGGCACTTCCAGTAAGAGCCAATTTTCTGAGCTTTCTTTGCGTTCATCGCATTACAGCATGGAGTAGGGGTTAGAGCCCTGTGCTGTCCCCAGAATGAACTAATTCCAGCTTCCTGTCTCTCTCTCCTCCCTCCCCTCCCGTCCTCAGGAAAGTGGGAATGTCCGTGGCATCAGTGCGACGTCTGTAGCAATCCTGCGGTTTCCTTCTGCGAGTTTTGCCCTCATTCGTTCTGCAGAGACCACGAGAAGGGAGCCCTGGTGGCGTCGGCGCTGGACGGGCACCTCTGCTGCTCCGCGCACGACCCCAAAGCTCCCGTGGCGCCTGAGTACTGGAGCAAGATCAAGTGCAAGTTGGAAGCACAGAACCCCGTGGAAGAGGCGAAGGAGTGAATTTGGTTAAACACGAACACGGGAGGGGAGAAGAGGGGCAAACGGGCGATGGACTTGGAGAGACTGCTGTACGCATTCGGTCTTCGTCACCGGAGCCATCGTGCGTGAACGGGACCATTTAATCTTAGCGAGCAGGAGCAGGCAGTGGTGTTTGGTTTTTACCCTTTGGTCTTTCTTTTACCCTTGAATGTGCTACAGCAGCTCTTGCCGTTGGACACCAGGAACGTCTTTGGCCTTCAAAGGAAAACGTCGACCTTGCGACAGTGACAAGAATATTCTGTTGAAAATCATGTTCTTCGAGTGTAGAAAGCGAAGCGTAGCAGCGTATTTATTTATTTAATTTTTAAAGGGTGTTGAAGATCTGGTTTTGATCAGTCAACGCGTTTTTAAAAGCAAAATAGCAAAGCCAACGTAACTTCTGTGCCGAGTTTGTGAAAAGAACAGAGCCTCAGCTCTCTGTGACATTGAGGTGCCATACAGACAGATGTGGGCTTCAGACCAGGTGACCCTGAAACGCCTCCATCCCAGTGCTTGTTTCTAAAGGCGTTTTGAGAAGGCAGGTTATATATCATGTTAACTTATGAGTATCACTGTAAAGCTTTTCCTGTGAGAAATCGGATGTTTGGCTTCTTGGAAGTGCTTGTGACGAGATCTGCCGTTGTCTGAGGGACAAAGTCGTGGTTCCCTGCGTGAGAGCTGCAGCCGGTGTCTGTAGGCGAGTTCAGGAAGAGCTTAGCTGCACATGGCCATTTCCTTATCCCGCCTCATTTGGAAAGGTTCACATCTGGGAGAGCTCCCGGGCCTTGGTCCCGCACTGCAGCACACTCAGAGCTGAAGTCTTGTCCTGCGCCGTCCGCTCCTTCGGATGGGGATGTTCTGTGCGTGCCAAATCCACGCGTGTTTTACGGCAGCGTGTTGGTGCCATCCTTCATCGCTGCCTGCTCAGACTCCATCAGCTTCAGAGAAAACCGGACCCCCGTGCGTGTTCCGATTGAATGTTTGGGTTTCTTTGCTGAGAGATCTTGTACCTTAAATCTTCTTTGGTGACAGAGCTCAGAAAAACCTCAGCACCTCTTCAGCAAGCGGGGTGTTTCTGTGTGGGCACCGGGCCGTGTTCACTGCAGGCCTGGTGGGACAGAGCTCTCGTGGGTTTCCTCTGTTCAGCAGAGGCACGGGCTCCTTTGGGCTCTTGAAGGGGCTTGGGTAGGCTCTTGCTGCAGGTTTTCTTTGGAAAACTCTTGCATTTCTCATGCAGGGAGCTGAAGTTAGTGTTTAGTGACTGATTGTCCCCCAGCCGTACGAAACGCGTGTCTCCCTGCCCTGGTGTAGCGAGGTGGACTTGTGTTCCGATGTTGGCTGACCGTGCGAGCTTGTCGCTAATGGGAATTGAAAATAATCCGGGATGAAAAGAATTAATATCAAGCGTTGCTGGCATCCGGCTAAATTAAGCCTTTGAGTTAGGAGCCCTGTGTCTGGAAAACTGCTTACGTTGACCTGTGGGAGCGTGGTGGCTCCTCGGTTCGAGGTCAGCGGGCTGAAGAGGTACCCGTGGGTTTTTGGAACACGTCTTGCCCCTGGCTGGTCCCTGCTTGTCCTCACAGCGGGAGAACCCTTGTGTGCAATTGTCACTGCAGATACACTACAGTCTCTTCAGGCGGCTGCTGTGCCGTGTCACCAGGACGGGCAGATCCCTCCTGACCCCAGAGCTGCGGTGTCCCCGGCGGCGTCGCCCCAGATCTCCCGTGGGCCGGTGTGCAGTCAGGGCCTGGTGGGATCTCTCGAGCACTTCATCTCGTGGTCCGTGCTACCGTGAATGTCTGAAACACTACTCCTGCTTGAAAGCAGTGCTCTATTTTGGTATTTTTTACAAAGAAAATTTACAAAAAGGATTTTATTTTTCTTAACATTTTGTGTGATAAATGTCTCTTTTTAAGCTCTTACTGGGGGTGTTTGACCTCTTCAGAAATTCCAAACACGGCTCTTGCTGCAGTGTCTGTGAGGCCCGATGTGTTTACTTTATATTATTTATTAGGCTTGGTGATGTTCAGCTGATTTTTCTCTTGGAGCATAACGAATACTGCAGATACTCTGGTGTGAGCACACCCACACGCTTGCTTCTCGTGCTGTGTCCGTGGGGACCCGCAGGGCGCAGGGGAGCGGTGTGGGAGCACCAGGACACCCCCAGGAGCAGAGGATGGACCATCAGCCGCTGCGGCGCCAAGTGCCACAGCGTCCCCGGGGTCACCGAAGGCTCCAAAAGGGGTGAAACGCTGCAAATCAGAGCCTGCTGCTGCCCTGTGCTGCTCCACACTGGGTCCCTTTGCCTTTGAGCTTCTTCCAGGTGCTCCTGGTGTCCACCAGAACCGTTAATGAGAGCGGGGCTGGGACTGGGAAACGGGAGCTGGGATCTTCAGGTGCTGCAGCTGATGAGCAACGGCCTGGACTGGATTTCACGCTGCTGGAGAGAGGTGAATCTGTCAGAAACCTCCTAGCGTTGAGGCAAGAAAATAACCTAACGGAAGGTGTTCTGGGAGCTGCAGGGGTTTGTTCTGTGTGCCAAACACCCAGTGTTAACCACTCCTTCGCAAACGGAGCACAGCGCTGCAGCTCCTCTGTAAGGAGAAGGTTTGACAGCTCTTTTCATCGATCGGCCTCAGCAGAGGGGACTCGGTGGCTGGATTGCCTTGGTGCCGTCCCAGAATGAAGATAACGTTGGGTAACGTTGTGCTGAGGCCTGGTGGGAACGCACAGAAGCGGGGATTTCGGCCGAGAACTGAACTCTGCTGTTCCGGCGGTCGTTCCTCAAGGGGAACGCGCGGCCACGCTTTGCCCTTCCTTTGGCTTCACGTGTTTGGGATCAGCCCCTGCCT